CCCCCCCCCTGACTCTCTTCTTCTTTGTCTGTCTGTGTCGCTCCTGCGCCCCTTTACCCTTGTGCGCTTCAAGCCTGCAGACCTGATACCCCTGTTCCCTCCCCTGTTACCACCGTCTTTTTCCATAATATTTTACATGTGCCTGTTGTGGCACGGGATTTTTGCCGTCGGGACTCTGAGGGACACACACCGTGGAGCGAAGGACGCCATGCAGTACTGGACTGCCACGAGACAGTATGTCCAGAAGAAGGGCGAAATGGTGTTCGCGAGGTTGGGATCCTTGGTGTTCNCCTGCGCCCCTTTACCCTTGTGCGCTTCAAGCCTGCAGACCTGATACCCCTGTTCCCTCCCCTGTTACCACCGTCTTTTTCCATAATATTTTACATGTGCCTGTTGNTGTCCATGCAGTGGAAGGATTCCAAGGTCGTCAAATTCCTGTTCACAGTCCACCTCAGCCCGAAGCACTTTCTACCAAAGGAGTACAGGTGGGCACGGTGGGCACGACATGCGTCTGGTTTTGAGATGCTTGCCACCATGTGTGTCCAGAGGTTGATTATACGCTCGTGATTATGTGTTTAGATACCGTGGCTCATATCCTGACCATGCTGACACATAACCTTCTACATCCGGCCCCGTGCGCACTCGCCGTTTTCGTCCTCATCGACAGCAAGTACGTGGCGGGCAAAAGTGGAAGGCAGACGGCTTCCAGCCTTGGTGTAGATTCCACTACAAGTACATGGGAGGAGTAGATATCTCGGACCAGCACAACGGAGTGTACCTGTCAAAACACCGTGCTAAAAAATATTTTTGGCGACGTCTATTTGGACCGAAGTCGATGCAGGCCTGTACGAACGCGTGGTTGATGTTTCGGTGGTGGTTGAGACACATGCAGAGTGGGGTGGCGGAGGTGATCAACCAGTTGGAACAACAGGGGGTGATGGAGGGCGAAGAAACGGCAGATGGGCTGTTTTTCAAGGGGCTGCGAGAGGAGGAAGAGCGGTTGAGCACGTTAGAAAAGCAGTCCAGAGCAAAATGGATGAGGGAGCTTAGCTGCTACCTCATGTCCTTGTGCAACTTGGGCGACGCAGAAAGGGGACGCCGGGCGCATCAAAACACCTCTGTACTGGCGGAAATCAGGGCAAAGTTGGGGGATGGCAACCTCAAGATTCTGAGACAAGGTCAACGGTTCTATTGCGCGGGAAGGATGTGTAACAGTCGCAAAGAAACCAACCCTAAGCGAAAGAGTAACGGGAAGCCAAGGGGGCAGAGAGTTACCACAGTCTGCATGTGCACTCGGTGTCAAATGTAACGTGGCGTTGTGATGTGTCGTCGTTGCTTCAGCGACCCACCCAAGCACGCCTCGGCGTTCGCGGCAGCCTCCAACTCTGGGAGGGAAAAGAAAGCTTTCAAGTTATGAAGGGAAGGAGCATACTGTAGGCTCCCNCGCTGCTTCAGCGACCCGCCCAAGCACGCCTCGGCGTTCGCGGCAGCCTCCAACTCTGGGAGGGAAAAGAAAGCTTTCAAGTTATGAAGGGAAGGAGCATACTGTAGGCTCCCTGCGAATTTTGCGTCCCGAATACCACATGTATTTGCATTTCTTTTCGTGGGCACGAGAGCGTGGAAGGTTGTTCTCGCTGAACAAAATATGTTGAGGCGTCCCTGCAGTCCAAGAGGTGCAAGAAACAAGTCAAGTGGTGAAGGCTACGAAGCGTTCTTGAGGCCCTCCTAAGGTTGTTTTTATTTTTCTCGTGGGCACCGGATATGATAGTGGTCGTCTGAAGAAAACACTTGCGCTCCACGAACTATGCGATTTCGATTTTGCACATCGGCCGTGATCCAAGCGCCTTTGGCTTCCTTTGAAACACGCGTCTCGACTTTCGGTATCCTTTTTTCGCGTGGGCACGACGGGAGAGGAATTTTATTTTGTGTTGTTCGAACAGTAGCTCGCTTTCCCTCTTGCACATCAGCCGTGATCCAAGCACAAAAATGGCTTCCGTTGAGATACGCCTCTCGACTACCGGTGTTGTTTTTCCGCGTG